AACAGAGAAGGAGAGAGAGAGAGAGAGAGAGAGAGAGAGAGAGAGAGAGAGGGCAGGAGGGAGAGAGAATAAGGAAGAGAAATAATTGATTCCTAATATAAAGAGATACTCATTTAATTCCTAAAATATATATAATTGGTAAATTTGTATATAGGATGTAATTAAATTGAAACTTTTGAATATGATGAGTAATAAAGTTTCAAATAGTGTATAGGAATGTAAAAATCTCAAAAAACAATACCATGAGGCCCTGAAATGTCAAAAGCTAACAAATAAACCGCTATAAAAACAACAACAATATTAATAACACCAAAATATTTCACTGCCTCTTTCTCTTCAGCTATTGTGGATGAAGGTGCAATTTCACGTAAAAACACAACAGCCGTAAGACAAACAACAAAAGGAACTATAGAAAGCAAGAGTAAAAAAGTTGAAGTGTCATTTGCAAAAATATCAGTAAATATAGCTGTACTTAAACCCACATACCCTTTTTAAACTCGCACCCGCATAAATTTTAAATGTTTTTATTTTGACCCGCCCCGCCCCGCAACCGCATATTTTTAAACTCACACCGCCCCGCATGTGTCTAAACCTGCACCGCCCCATTGCCATCCCTGTTAGCCCTACCATAAAAAAGATGAGTAACATATACGGAGTAAAACTTACTTAAAATTTTGATTTACGTGCAACCCGGTTTCAGAGCCTCAAATGAACCTTTAACAACAGTATCACTATTATTTCAACTTCAGCTCAAATATTTTTTCTTTTTTAAATGCCGAGATTTTTTCTTCCAGTTTCTTACTCTAATTAGTCTTGCCCTCGCCAAAAACAAGGCGTGTATGTAATTTTCTAGGATTTAAGCCAATTGGTTAGAAGGTTTCTTTAACCAAGGGAAAACCATTTCAATAGGAGCATTTTTTAGAAAAAGCTATCTGCATATTTTCCGGAGAGGAAAGAATGTGCTAAGCTTAAGCTTACCTCTAAGAATAGTTTACTTGTTAAAAGCAAAAAAACTACAATATAAACAGTCAAACGTAAGTGAATCAATACACAGCCATTTTAGAGCTGCGACAAAGAACAATGATTATCAATGATTCCCTATGTTAATAAGAAAGGGACTCATGAAAAGTTCCATGAAGAATATCAATGATTAATCAATCAATTAATTACGCCTTAAATTCCAGACTAGTTAATCGACTATGTGAGTCTTTCACCTCTCTATTCAGATCCATTTGACTTCGATATTAGTAAATAATTTGTCCGTTAAGACAGAAAAGCTTTTGGGATTCCTCATATTTCAAGAGTCCAACAGTCATGTAATACACCCAAAATAATAATAATAATAATAATAATACTCAATAAAGAGGCACCAGAACTTAGCCTGTGAAAATTTCATACCTGTAAAAGCAAAACCCTGTAATACTTATTCCAAAACTTTGACCATATATAGCAAAAATTCTTACTTCAACAACGTTATTTACTCATCAAGTCAGTTACTTCTTTTGCAATTCACTTCTTTATTCTCCTAGCTTACTTTTTCAGATAACCTGGCAGCTAAAGTCTAGTCTATGCAACTGCATAAATTAAGATATAGGCATCAGGCAGGATCACTTAACAGTTTTCCCTGATTTTTGCTGCCATCAAAGTAAAGACAAATAGTTCAACTGTTCAATCAAGGCATTTTAGTGCAGTATAGATCACTGCATGTAAAGTGCAGCACAATACCTCTTCCTAAATGAAAACTTATAGGAAAATAAAGTGCAAGTGGGGTACAAAACAGGAGAAAAAATAAAGCATGTAGAGTTTACTATTTCCAGCCTATTGAGATAGGTTTAGGCAAACACCTATGCCGCATGAAGAAATGAGCAAAAAGGGCTTAACCACATGAAGAAAAACAGAATCAACTTTTTGGCAAACAAGATTAGATACACTTGCATTTTGAGCATGTAAACATGATAAACATCAGTAATATCAAATTTACAACCTAAAAAGGTGCATTATCTGAGGGGAGACGCACGCACAGGGAAATTAGATTACTTTCTGCAGTGTATGTGAATCTACAAAGCCATAATTTAGTAAAAACTTTCACAATATGATAACCAACTGATGCTGGGATAAAACTCAAAAAGATTAGTCAGAAAGCTTCAACGGAAAGATGTAGTCTTCACTTTCCCAGCATATGCCAATAAAGCAAACTAAACAGCATAAAAGGCCCTGTTACCAAGGTTTCAAGATATGAAAACCAAACAAGAAGTACCATGATATCCCTACGTGATGTCTACCATGTCGTGGCAGCCACTATCCCTTTATATGTCGTCATGATCTTAGCCTATATTTCTGTAAGATGGTGGAAACTCTTTTCACCAGAGCAATGCTCTGGCATCAACAAGTTTGTGGCGAAATTTTCAATACCTTTATTATCCTTCCAAGTGATATCAGAAAGCAACCTCTACAAAGTAAATCTGAAGCTTCTATTAGCAGATTTCATACAAAAAATTCTTGCTCTCTTTCTACTGGCAGTTTTTGCCAAACTGAAGCCCAGAGGAAACCTGACTTGGATCATAACAGGTCTTTCGGTTTCAACCCTTCCAAACACCTTAATCTTGGGGATTCCACTAGTAAAGGCCATTTTTGGTGATGCAGCAGCAGAACTACTAGTGCAGATAATTGTACTACAGAGTTTAATTTGGTACAACCTCCTACTATTCTTGTTTGAGCTCAATGCAACTAAAGAATCTTATGTGCCATCACCATCGGAAGTAGCAGGTATGTACACAGATAACAGAACATGGTTCCTAAATGTTGGATATTTATTTGAATGGCATCCGTGTAACAGAACCTATTTAAAGCACTCCAATTTTAACTGTTAAGAACCAGAAAGCAGTAGATTGCAAATGTGTTAAAGTGAAAAGAGAATCCTATTCTGGGCCCCACAGATTAGCCTGTATCATATGATTTCTAGATAAAATAATTTGTGATATCGTGTAGCATGCACTCAATTTGTGAAATGCTCCTTTCTCATTTTCTAAACTAGTTTCACAATTACAGGAAGGCATAGGTTAATCCTTAAACTTATTAACGTAGTTTGGTAGCAAAAACTCAAGAACTGAGAGGTGATTCATCTACTTGCAAGAGACAGATGCACTTTCAACTCACCTAAATGAAACAAACAGGAAGTTTGGTTAGACAACCATGACAAAAGTTGACAGTAGTCATNGACCAACCCCAACAGAAATGTAAAGGAGATCAGGTAGTTTAAGCTGTTAGTGTCTTTGTTTATCTATGATCTTCAGCATGACAATTTCCAGAAATCCAATGTGACAACTATTAAAGCAAACATCAATATGCTTGCTCTTTTTCTTATGAAATATATATTCTGCCATTGAAAGTTGAGCTCGAGGTCCCTGAAGAATCAGAACTAGAAGAGGACAGGGAGGAGGAAGCAAAAGCCATATGCCCGAGGAAGACAAAGATTATGCTAATTCTTCTAACAGTTGGAAGGAAACTCATAATAAATCCTAATACACATGCAACTCTTGCGGGTATTATTTGGTCCGGCATACACTTCAGGTAAAGCCTTATTAATGATCTCTAGAAAAACAAATCTATCTTCAGAAACTCCTCATAAAAAATCAGTGGACTTCTTTGTTTACACAAAATGAAGTGCAGGTGGGGAATCAATCTACCAACAATTGTTGGACGATCAATATCAATACTTTCAGATGGAGGGCTAGGAATGGCAATGTTTAGCATAGGTACAATGGATAAAAAGTACTCATCGCATGAATTACTAGAGTATCAACGAGAAAGCAAATGGCTCAACTACTCATATTGCACTAATTTAACAGGTGTTTTCATGGCATCCCAAGCTAGTATTATAGCATGCGGAACCAGAAAAGCAATATTAGCAATGGCACTAAAGTTTGTTCTTGGACCTGTACTCATGGCAATCTCATCTATTGCTGTTGGACTAAGGGGAAAATTGCTAAAATTGGCGATAGTGCAGGTGAAAGTATATTGTTTTTCTGTTGTCGATTCATGGAAGATTAGTTAACACTGTACTTTGTATTGCAGGCAGCCCTTCCCCAAGGAATCGTTCCTTTTGTGTTTGCCAAGGAATATAACATACATCCTACTATCTTAAGTACAGGGTACCAGATAGAACTATCAACTCGAACTTTTAACTTCTTCACTAAGAACATTTTAAGCAGATATGATTTTTGATGTGGTTTCATTCTGATTGTAGGGTAATCTTTGGCATGCTGATCGCAATACCAATTGCTTTGGCATACTATTTCCTTTTGGAAATATGAAACTCAGACATGGTCATGGGATAGCAGATATTCACAAATTCAAAAGAGAGACAATTTGTTCTCTTGTAACATCATTCAACTGTCGAGTGATTATAGTAAAGAAAAAGGCAAAAATCTTAGTGAAGTATAGTTTTTTGTATAAAAATAATAAAGGATGAATGTGTGTCGAGTTCACTTACCAACTCATTTATTATAAAACATCAGCTAGAATGCATAAATAAATCCAGTACATGCACTATCTGGTCAATGCAGAGTGTCCAAGTTCAAAATTTTCAAGAGAAAGAGGATTACATGAACAATATAAATGACCGTGAACAATATTGTTGAGAACACGTCAATTTCAACAACAAAACTAATGAGTTCTCAGATAATCAAAGAGAGCAACAAGGAGGTGATCTAGGCCGTGAAACTTTAAGATAATCAGCACACATTTGAACGACAAAACTAATGAGTTCACAAGTATAGCATCATATAAATTGATGTCAACCAAAAAGGATATGTAGGTACTACAAATGAAGTAAATACTAAGACTTTGACAAGGAAAAAAAATCACATTCTGCAGATTAAGAGCCCGTTTAGGTTAGCTAAATAAAAGTAAAGCACTTGGGCTTAAAAGCACTTTTTAAGTGTTGAATCTGAAAATATGCAGTTGATGTGTTTGGTAAAACTGTGTGGTTAACACTTTTTTCTGTTAAAATGACAAATGACATTACAGTTGTTAACACTACAAAATGGCAATGGTCCACCATATCCGATAATAACACTTGATTGAGCTAAAATAGTTAAAACCTTATTCCATAATTCCTCACACTGCAAATATGTCCAACTCCAAAGTCCAAAATACAATATTACTTACTAATTTGCAAAAGAAAATACAAGAATTAAATAAATTCACTCACTCTGCATCATATCCTTTCTCTTGTAGCTCAGAAATGACTTCATTCCTCATCCTGATCCACGGCTTGAAGGCTTCTTGCTCAAATTTCTTATCCTGCAATACTTTCTGATAATTAAACGAATCTTTATCAGATTCAACGATTCCTTTAGGACCAATTGTAGTACCAATCATTCCACCTTTGGCAACGAACTCTTCCATGGCCTTCTCGTCCCCTGGATATGGAAATTTACGGCGTTCGTAAAGTTGTGGTAGTTCTTTTTCTTCTTTGGGCTTTGGCTTTAAGGTCCACCAACCAAGCGGCGACGTTTCATTCCACACCCATGCTACCCCGAACAACGTGTAAGCAGAGTCATAATTATAAATTTTAAAATAAAACACTGTTTGCAGAAAAATGGAAGTTCCATCTTTTACAGCGAACTCACAACCCTTATTGTTGAACAAAGACCACTTTTATTAATGGGTTTATCAGTATATATTTATATAGATTTAATAAATATTTCAATACAAATACAACGTTCCGAAAAAAGTCAATGGGTTCGCCCGAACCCACCCACTACTGTAGCTCCGCCCCTCCGTGTAAGTGCATAGCAACGCCTTTCCCACTTGCTTCCAAAAGTGATAATCTTCTTTGCCTAATGTATACGGTTAAAACCGATCTTCGATCATGAAGATCGATCGAGGATGGCATTTCAGTCAAGGGGGATCTTCATGGAGAACCCGAACGAATTCCGAGATGGGGGCGTCGAGCTCGGGGCTTTCGAATCGACCGAGGTAACATCGACCGATACAGGTCCCGAACATCGATGCCCGAAAGTGATCACCTAGCTCGAAACCAAGGCTGAGGTTCCGATCCGATACCAAGCTCGAGTCGGTATCGAGTTCACAGACAAAAAATTGTTACAACCGCACCAAAGGAGAGAATCTCGGCGGGAATTAAGGAGGAGACACACCATCATGGGTCCTCCACTAGTAATATTATTCCATCATGTTGCTATAGATAAAGTAGTGATCCTTGGCTATAAAAGGCAAGATAGATTGTAATAGAGAGGACTTTTCGCTGGGATTAAGAATACATTGTGTTTATCTTTCTAAAGCTCACTAAATATCTTTGTTCATCATTTTCTATTTTTTGCACCATAAATACATGTATTATTATTTTCAGATCAAAGGAATCTACTTACCCTTAGAACCATACATAAATTCAACGTTATCCGATTTTTCGGGTAAACAGTTTGGCGCCCACCGTGGGGCTAAGGATAACAAGTGATTATTTGATACAAATATACAGCACACTCCAGCTTATAACTTCATACCAGCAATGGCTCTGCCAATTGACCTCGAAGCCGGCCTTCAGGATTAAACCAACAACTTGGTGCCCGTGGCCGAAAGGCTACCCAACAACGGCAACGAGGCTCGAATCGAGGAACCCGAAATTCGAGCCGAAGTACCAGTAGATA